AGGGTCCAGACCCAAAACATCAGCCTTCCTGCTCCTCTGATGCTGCTTGGCCTGCTATGTTCATCCAGCTCTACACCTTGTTATCTCTACCATTTTTATTGAACCACTTTGAACGATCCAGAACACTAACAAAGTAAATTATCAAAAGTAGCCTGACTCAGTATTAGAAACTTAACAATTATGTTGGAATTGAAGAAAAAGTAATGAGTAAATATCAGTAAATAAAGGCTGTAATTTTATTAAATTTTACTCATACATGTTAATACCTGTGTTGAAAATTGCTGTAAGAAATGGATTGTGAGAATAGAAGAGACAAGCGACCTTTAGCTAATTGTCCACAGCCAAGGCCATCCCAGAAGACACAGACAGAAAAATGAATGGGAGATTGTTCGTCTTGAGGTAACGTGAGCATTATGAGACGCTCCCTTGTTGTAACAGTGAGAGATCATGGATATAAGGGAAGGTCCTTATTAAGCATCATCGCATCGTTAGCGAGTTAGATTTAATAGTAACTTTAATGTGGGTGGGTTAATCCCAAAGGGTCTATAAAAAAAAGGAGAAAGGTGAAATACGGTGGGTGCTGAAAATCTGAAACAAGCTCAGAGAATGCTGGTGAAACTCAGCAGATCTGATGGCATCTGTGGAGAGAGAGAAACAGATTTAATGCTTCAAGTCCTGTGAACCTTCTTCACAAGGGCCTAACTGTCTTGTTCCTCTGTGATCTGCTCCAGGCCAAGCACTGGTTAAATCAGATTAGAAAGGATAGATGCTGTGATGACCATCACAGACACGATGGACCGATAGGCCTTTTCCCCATAACAAACACAGAGAATGCTGGATAAGCTCAGCTAGTGTGGCAGCATCTGTGGAGAGAGAAACAGTGTTAACGTTTTAAGTCTGACTATGAACTCCAGAAGTGGAGAAGAGTCACACCAGACTCAAGGCAATTATTCTGTTCCTCTCTTGATGCATGTTGCTAGACCAGCTGAGTTTCTGCAGCGTTCTTTGTTTGTTTCTGTAAAATAAGTGCCATGTTTACCTCACAGATCCAGGTATATTGCAGCCAGCTGAGGACAGTGAGGCATTGCCTCATATTGGTTGACGTTTAGATCGATCTAAAGGCCAGGAGAGTTAGTCAGGGACTTCTGTGGAAGGAAAGAAGAGGTTTTGTGTTCAAGAGCTGGGCTTTGGCTCAGCCTTACATTTGTGATAAGTATAACCTGGTCAGCATGGACAAGTTAGTCTGAAGGGTCTGTTTCTGTGCTGTAGACTCTGTGACTCTAAACAGTTTTTATTCATCATGCCTGGTGTAGCAACCACCCCCAGGGCAACCTCCTGGTGTGGTAGAGCAGCTCCCAAATCTCAGCCCGGTGTGGTGGCCCCTCGGCCCGGTGTGGTGCCCCCTCTGGCTTGGTGTGGTGTCCTTTCGGCCTGGCGTGGTGTCCTTTCGGCCTGGCATGGTGTCCTTTCAGCCCAGCATGGTGCCCCCTTCGGCCTGGTGTGGTGCCCCCCTCGGCCTGGTGTGGTGCCCCCCTCGGCCCGGCACGGTGTCCCCTCGGCCCGGCGTGGTGTCCCCTCAGCCTGGTGCGGTGTCCCCTCGGCCTGGCGTGGTGTCCCCTCGGCCTGGCGTGGTGTCCTTTCGGCCCGGCGTGATGTCCCCTCGGCCCGGCGCGATGTCCCCTCGGCCCAGCGCGGTGTCCCCTCGGCCCGGCGTGGTGTCCCCTCGGCCTGGTGTGGTGTCCCCTCGGCCCGGCGTGGTGTCCCCTCGGCCTGGTGTGGTGGTCTGGAGCGATCATGATCCTCAAGGTGAATGCCAGTGAACTGCCAGGGCCCAGTGCGAACTGGATTCTAGGTGCCAGTGCGGTTTGTGTTGGAAGATCACTGTTCCGGACTTTTATATCTACCATGCTGGACATTTCATTTCTCTATTTTCTAAGATCTTGTAACTAAAGAAGCTGTACATGGGTACCTTTGTACCTAAGATAGCCCTGTAAGTGGCGGCACATAAACTTTTCACTGAACTCATTGAGTAATGTGACAATAAAGCTAATTCAATTCAACATCTCACTTAGTTATACTGAATTAAATCTGATTTTCTTATAAGATGTGGATATCACAGGCTGGGTCAACATTTAATGTCTGCCCCTAGATGCTCTTGAGAAGGTGGGGGTGAGCTGCCTTCTTGAACCACTGCAGTCCATGTGCTCCGGGTAGATCCACAATGACCTTAGGGAGGCCATTCCAGGATTTGACCCAGTGATCGTGAAGGAACGGTGATATATTTCCAAGTCAGGATGGTGAGGGGCTTGGAGAGGAACTTCTTCCCATGGATCTGTTGCCCTTGTCCTTCTCAGATGAACGTGGTCCTGGCTTTGGAAGGTGCTATCTGAGCATCACTGATGAATTTCTGCAGTGTATCCAATTCACGGTGGCATATCGCTGATGAATGTGGAATATTTAAACCGTATAGTCTGAAGGAATTAATTTGAAATTTTTAATTAGATGAGCTCAACTAATTGAACTAACCTAAAGATTATGTAAACTCTCTTTTGAAAGTCACTCATAGCACCAGGGGATCTGCAATAGGAAACAGATACTCCTCAGAAGTGAAACCTCAAGACGTGTGAGTCTATTGGCTAAGAATTCCGTGGGATCCTGCTACAACCATCTGCAGAGGATTCAATTCAATAAAATTAATGACCATGAAAGCTTTGTCAATTGTCATAAAAACCCATCTGGTTCACTAATGTCCTTTAGGGAAGGAATCTGCCATCCTTCCCTCGTCTGGCCTCCATGTAACTCCAGACCCACAGCAATGTGGTTGACTCTTGAGGGGAGGTGATGGCCTGATGATATTATTGTTAAGGCTATTAATCCAAAGATCTAGGTAATGTTCTGGAGATCTGGGCTTGAGTCTTGCTGTGACAAATGGTGGAATATGAATTCAATAAAAAACCTGGAATTAAGAACATAATGATGAGCATGAAACCATTGTTGATTGTAGCGGGAAAATCCATCTGGTTCACTAATGTCCTTTAGGGAAGGAAACTGCCACCCTTAGCTGGTTTGAGTGTGAGTCCAGACCCATAGCAACATGGTCGATTCTTAACAGCCCTCTGGGAAATTAGGGATGGGCAATAAATGCTGGACTAGCCAGCGATGCCCACATTCCATGAACAAATCATAAAAGCTGGTTTAATGGTGACCATGTAACCACCGTTAATCATCAGAAAAGCCCATCTTGCTCACTAACACTTTTACTTCATCTACATGTGATTCCAGACCCATAGCAATGTAGCTGACTCTTAACTGCCCCCTGAAATGGCCCAGCAAGCCTTTCAGTTGGCAGGCAGCAAATGCTGGCTTTGTTAGTGACGCCTACATCCCTTACAAGAATATTTTATTTAAAACATGATTAATTCAGAAGCCCATTGTTGGAATGACATTTTTAAAAAAAGCCTGTGTGGAGCAGAGTTCCAAATCTTCCAGATTTCTGTCACAGATTCCTTGCTCCCAACTGATCTAAGCAGTTGCTGTGCCTCATGGGAGCAGGAGTAGGCCACTCGGCCCTTTGAGCCTGCTCTGCTATCACTAAGATCACTGCTGAGCCAATTCTAACCTCAACTCTAGGTTCCTTCGCATCTCCTGATAATCATGCATCCCCTTTATGATCAACAACCTATCTAGCTCTGCCTTAAAAATATTTAAAGATTCTGCATCCACTGCCTTTTGAGGAACCTAATTCCAAACACTTTTTACTCTTATCTGTTTTAAATGGGCAGCCCCTTATTTTTTAAACTATGAGCCTTGGTTCTAGATTTTTCCACAAGAGGAAATATGTTTTCAACATCCAGTCTCCAAGTTCCCTCAGGGTCTTATGTCTTTCAATTAAGTGAATTCTGACTCTTCCAAACTCCCGAGGATACAGGCCGAGCAGGCCTAACCTTTCCTTACAGCTTCCAGCACGGTGGGGGGGGGGGGAGGTAAAATCCTGTCATAGTCCAACAGAAAATTGGTTGCCCATCAATGAGTGACTTCACCCAAACTTTCTACTT